CTCTGGCCTGCCTGTTTCCAAAGCTCAAGCTCCAATTGCAACATGCCAAAAGAGACTAGAGTAAAAAATACATCATCGTCTATGATGAAAATTAAGGGTTTTAAATATCATTTTGTTCAGAGTAATGTTTGCTCCCAATACATGGATGTTGGTAAGATACTTACTAGATTTTGACACTAAAATACTATAGAATTTTTGCTGTTTCACAGGATAATAAATGTGTTGGAGTCCTGGTTTTGCAACTTATGTTTGTATAATAGATGGGAGGGCTGGTTCAAGAAGTCTCTTCAAAGGATGAAATACAAAACAATGTTATTTTCTAAAATTCTTAAATGTTTTTTCCCTTTAATTTTTTTAAAACTGCTTAAAACTGGTGCTATTATAAATTGGTGATTTGTTAGTAAGTGGTATTAATTTACTGGCTATTTCAAAACTTTTCTGGTTTTACAGATGGTGTCAGTGAACTGAATTTAGATTTCTAAATCATGACTTAAGATATAGGAAAGATGGATCTTGAATTGAGATATAGTCATGACAGCAGAGTCTGTTTGCCTAGAGGCAAAGCAGTATTTTCCAGTGACCTCCTTGAAGGTATATTTCACTATAAAGCAGATAGTTTAGCATATTTTGCCTTGCTTTGCTAACACCTTCATATCACATAGAGTACAGGAAGCAATAGGGAACAGTTTCTTAGAATCTAATTCTGAACAATAAGGGGAAATGATTGACAGAATTGGAAAAGTTGGACACATAAGGAGAAAAAATAACTATTCTTAGAATCCATACTACCTGGGAGGAAAATTGGATAGAATAAACTGTACACTTTTAAACTTTCAGAGGACAAACTTGAAAAAAAGACAGATAAGAGTGTCAAGACTATAATTCTGGCTATATAATTCTAAGTAATAAAGTTAAGGAAGAAAAAATATTGTATTCTGTAATTCAGCAGTATAAGTCAGGTCAGGCTTCAGGGGGAGCTATAGAACAAATGACTCATTGCCAAAAATGCAATCACTGGTATTAGGAAAGCTAAATTAAGAAAATGATTTGTGGCTTATGAAAATAGTAAGGGCATGAAAGAGGACCTTTGGAAACATGTTCAGATTAGAAGATCAAAGAAAAGGATACACCCATTGTTAACAGTGAGCGCCATTATGTCAAGGGATGATGCAGAAAAGCAGACATGCTCAGTCCTAATTTCCATATGTATCCTTTGTAAGGTAATTTTAGAATATATAAGAATCTTATATAGTTCAATACGAAACAGAAAATCCAGTTAAAAAATGAGCAGATGACTTGAACAGATACTTTTCTCAAGAAGACATACAAATGGCCAACAGATATATGAAAAGATGTTCAATTTTATTAGCTATTGAGGAAATGCAAGTCAAAACTGCAATGAGATACTACTTCACACCTGTTAGAAAAGCTATTATCAACGAAACAGGTAATAAGTGTTGGAAAGGTTGTGGAGAAAAAGGAACTTTCATTTACTGTTGGTGGGAATGTAAACTGATACACTCACTGTAAAAAAATGTTGAGGTTCTTCAAAAAATTAAGAATAGAGTTACTATATGACCAAGCAACCTCTTTTCGGGGTATCACCCCTCAAAGTTTACAAACATTTATTTGCAAAGATATATGTAACTCTATATTCATCGCAGCATTTTACACAGTGGCAAACACATGGAAACAACCAAAATATTCTTCAATTTATAATTGGATAAAGAAAATGTGATACATATATACAATGAAGTACTACTGAGCCATAAAAAGATGAAACACTGTCATTTGTGACAACATGAATGGATCTTGAAACTAGCATGCTAAGCAAAATAAGTCAGCTGGAAAAAGTCAAGGACTATATGTCTTCACTCATGTGTGGGATATACAGCTGAAAGCACTAAATGAATAGACAAGAAAAACAAAAACTCATGGTATGGTGATTACCAGTGGGAAGGGAGCTCGGAGAAGGAGTAAAGGGCAAAGGGAGTCAAATATATGGCTATGAAAGAAGATTTGAGCTTGGGTGATGATAACGCAATGCAATATACAGATGATGCATCACAGAATTGTACGCTTGAAACCTATATAGCCTTATTAACCAATGTAATAAACCAACTTATTAACCCAATAAATTTAATAAAAGTAAAGAAAATACTTGTAAAGGTTAAGAAAGTACAATTTAAACAAAGACATAATAGGAAATAAGCTTGCTACTGCAAGAGTTCAAGATTTCTCTCTCAAAAAAGTTGCACTCAAGTTACTAGGACAAGTTGCTGTATACACATCATTGATGACCTTTAAGCTAATGGGAAATTGAACATTGGAACTGTACAGATGTTTCTCATTTTTCAAGTGGAAAGAAATCAATCAATAAACTAGAAAAATAATATTTACATCTATTCTTGGAAAGTTTCTAAGATCCACTGATGAAAATTTGAGAACCAAGAAAAAGAAGTTATGAGATGATGATACAATATGAGTTCACTAAGACCACATCTAATTAGACCAATTCTTTTTGTCCTCGTGGATACTGGCCTTCTAGCTCTATCCTTTGTGGTCTAAATGTGCATTGTCTATGTTCTGTCTATGTTCAGCCCTCAGGGAAAGTGTAGCTTTACAGAGGCGTCCTTGAAAGTTTACTCCCTGCACTTGGCTATGTGAAGGCAGACATAGCTTATGTATTTATATCCATACTGTTTCTATGAATAATATGTATTGACTAAATAAACTAATTAACAGCATATAAATAAAATTCATTAGAAAATTTTATATTAGTAGTTCATTAAAGCATCTCACAATATCCTGATGGTATATATATTAATAAGAGGGAGGAAAATATATTGATTGCAAGGGCAACTAACAAGATTAATAACTATTTAAACCAAAATATTAAAGACATTTTTATGTAAACCAAAATGAACAAGGGACTAGTTTCTAATGGTGTGCAACAAGCCTCTGTTTTTAACCTTGTCTTGCTCCACATTTAAAATCAACAGTTAGATACAAATAAGAAGGGTGACTTATTAAACTATGAGTGATACAAATTTGGGAAGACATTATACAGGTCAGGTCTTAGAATTAGCATCTGAAATCATTTTCAGTAACATTAGAAAAGGATGCTGAAAGTAATAGAAAAATGGGCTAACTGGAACAAGGGAAACTGAACAGAGATATAATTGGCTCCAAAGGACAGGCCACACATGTATAAAATGGCTAAGCAGCAGCATGAACAAAAGGGCATAAGGATGACAGCTGATGTTAAACACACCAGCAGTGCAATATGGCTTTTGAGTAAGCAAATGTGATCTTAAGATGCACAGAAGGTTGTTCAGCCTTTTGGCATCTCTGGGCCACACTGGAAGAAGAGTTGTATTGGGTCACACATTAAATACATCATGACACATAATCACAAAAAAATTTCATAATGTTTTAAGTAAATTTATGATTTTGTGTTGGGCCACCTTCATAGGCATCCTGTAACATATGCAGCCCACAGGCCACAGGTTGCAAGAGCAGTATAGCTCAGAGAGTAAAGGAGGAAAGACAACTTGAATATTCTGCTTGATTCTGAGTTTTAGGTAATTAAAAGGTTATGGATGACAGTAAGTGAGGTTGAGGAAAGTAACAATATTTAGTTAGCAGAGAAGAGAAAGACTGTAAAAAAATGGATAACCATATTCCATTGAGTTAACAGCAAGTGAAAGTGTAACATGATGGTTCTGGATGGACCCAAAAGGCAAAGGCAGGACATGGTGGGAGGCCCAAGGCAATGGGGCTCATCAGAATCATCTGGTCAAGCTTTATTTTTAACTTCTTTAAAATTGTGAAATATTCAAGAGAGCATTAAGGATACATATGTAGTATAAAAAGGTATAATCACTGTAAGATGAGAAAATAAACTATTGCCAGCACCCCAGGGAACCCCACGTATAGTTTTTTGCTTATTCTCTTTCTAAAAACAAACACTGCTCAAACTTCTGTGGTAATCATCTCCAAGCTCTTTTTTAATGGTTTTACCATTTTTACACATATTTCTAGGCCATTTAATTTAGTTGGTGTTATATGGTCATATATAACTTTATTATTTATATAATAATGCATTATATAAATAATGATGCATTATTTCTAGCAGATATTTCTAGAATTATGCTTTTGATTCCAGAGTACAGGTGCAAGTGGACTTTTATTTCTATTAAATCATGTAAGAAAAGGTTTCTCTTTCTAGTAAATTAATAGTGTGGAAAGCAAGGACACATTTAATTTCCAGATATGAGAGTTTGGAGGAAAGAACAATCTCATATCAATAATACATGACAATTTCAATAAGATAAAAAGTTTCTCTCATCATTCTAGGCAGGTCGGAATCTAGGAAAGAATAGTATGTGATTAATGTACAAATTTTTCTTCACTTATATAAGAATTATAAAATCTTTCTTCCATCCTTAAAGAGATGGAACATTCAGCAGGGCTTGAAAAGGCTGACTTGGCTGCATTCTGGAATAGATCTTTATTTCAGTGCTGAATACTAGAGGGACTAGTTCTAGCAAGATTAACAGGCAAGTTATCTCTTACATTGACAGCAGAACTATTCTCCTCACTATAAATTGTATAAATATTTGCCTTTATGTTAGAAAAAAGAAAACTTCTCTTCGGGACTTGTGGAATGTGGATGAAGAAAAAAAATAAAATCTACAAGTTAACTAATTTGAAACAAATTCTGAGGGTCTAGCCTGAATTTAGAAAGAGTACAATTCTCAAAGAGCCTATTTAACTCTGTCAACCCACAAATAGATGGATTTTTGAATGAAGATGTAAAAATAATTTTAAAAAATCAAAAGACAGCTTGAAATAAAGTTTAGTATTGTGGAAAATAATTGAGGCAAGTGCAATTAGCCTTGGATTTGACTGAATTGAATACACAACTGATGATTTTTTTCATTACTGTCATAATTGGTCTCACTTTAATTTTACATGAAGAATAATCTTTACTGTACCTGACGAGGGGTTCTTTCTGATTTACTTCTACACCATTCCCAGTCTGAAAGGTCTGGTTTCTGACTCTCCTCATGAGAAAGTCTTCTTTCTGGCCCTTCCAAAAAGGTGGTTTCTTCGTAGTGAATATCAACTTCTGATTTTTTAAATAGCAATGGATCAACACCCTTTTTATTGTGGGAATCCTCCTTAGCCTCTGGACTATCAGTGTTGGTGCTTTTGTTGATGCCTTTTAGTTTGGAGCTGTCCACAGAGGGAGTAGTGCTGATTTCCACTTTTACAGCATTGAAGATATTATGAGTGTCTCTCTGAGAGTCTTTTGTAGTTTTGCACTCATAGTTCATGAGATTGTGATAGGATGTAGAATTTTCATCATCATCATAGTAATCTTCAGGTGCTATTTTATAAATTCCATAACTTCGTTCAAAAGATATATTGAATTCAAAGCCTCTTCTCTTGGCTAAGTAAACACAAAAAATTCCATGGTTAGGGCAGAAGATATAAACAACAGTTGAATATACACAGCAAATAAAATTAGGGAAATGCATTCAACCTCATTACTATAATTAAAAAACTATCTTAATTTACTTCTTGTCAATTATGCAAAGTAATTATGCCTCACAAATTCAAGTCATTCTTAAACTCTGCGCCTAATTTTTCTCACTTGCATAATGAAGGGCTTGAAATACATACAATGCCAAGAACTCTGCAGTCTTTAAAGCAGTTTTATGTATCAAAAATTAAACATAAATTAGAAAACTCTCATATACATTCAATTTTAGTTTTAGTTTTTCAGTCTACCAATTTTATGTACATTTCTTTATTTGGGGATAAAATATAGTTTATAAATTTTATTTTCTAGAAATCAATTATTAAGTAGCTCTTAATATTATGTGAGTTACTCAGCGGACAACACCTTCAATAGATATAACTACTTTAAATATTTTGATGTATAATATTCCTGACATTTATGTTTCTAAATGCATACATTAAAAATCAGATAATGTTGCTATACTCTAGTTTTTAACCTAGGAAAAACAGCAGATACTTTTTTGACACAAATAAACTTGGAATTAATTGTTTAAAAAAGACATATTTCTGTGAATTGAAGCACTTTACAACATGTCTATAAACCTGATGAGTTACAACATAAAGTTTATCAGGAATACATAAAAATTTTATGGTTTAAGTCAGGGGAAATATGATAGTATCCTATCAATATAGTACTATTAGTTGGTGGATTTGGTACAAAGTCTTAATAGAATAACAAGGGAGAATATGACAGAAAGTGATACAATATTTTTGTGTAAATGTCATTAAATGCTAGATAATTTTTATGTATTTAGAATGAAGTTATATAAAAATGGTAGATAAAATATAAGTTAATGTTTGGTTTTTCATTTTTCAAAACATGGCTCATTTCAAAATATTTCCACTTGTATAATTTTACTTAATTTTTTCTAGTAATATAATCCAGTAAAATTCAATTAGGAATTTTAACTTACTCTAACAGTGTGAGAGTAAGAACTAAAGAAAGAACTAAAAGGATGTTTCAATCATTGGTGGGTTTCTCTTTTCTCTAAAAATGATGTAAAGTTACATATTGTCATGTAGGACATTACGCAAATAAAAATTGTCATTAAAAATCCCAATATTATCACTTAACACATTAAAATTGATGTTTGTGGCTATATATATTTTATTACCTGAATATTATAACAATGAATATATGAAGTATAAATGAGTAATGTTTTTGAAGGAATGTTCAGAGTGTACCAATGTGCCAGTAAAGAACCAGGTTCTCTGTTGCTGAGGTACAGGAGATGGTCTGAGGTAGGTTATGAGAAGAAAGTGAAATTGTGGTAGATACCACAGGGAAATAGAAGGCCAAGTTATGTATATAGGTCATGGGATTTAACACAGCAACAACCCTGCATGATGGAAAGCTTATTGGTCATATTTTACAGTTAAGAAAACTGAGGCTGCTAGAGGAAATCCACCTAAGATGACTTACCTAGTAAAGAGATTTGAATTTAAAGCTAACTGATTCCAGAACTGGAGTTATTAATTCTATGTGAAGTTGCTTTACTGCTAATCAGACACATGAGAGGAATTATGTTAATGGAAGCATAATGTTTCAGTTGTGCTGTCTTTAAGTCAGAGGAAGTACATTAATTATGAAGTGTAGCCAATAAAAACAATTTCTTGTTACTGACTTTCTTTAATGTTACAGATAAATTCTGACTGAGTTAACTAAGATAGATAATAGGTTATAACAATTTAACAGAGTTAACAGTGTTTGACTAATAACTTACAAGAAACCTAAAGACTATCATAACATAGTCAGGATCTGTTGAAGTCTATATTACACTTATGAAAAAGAGATACAATGTTGTATTTATTCTGAAAGCAAACTCCTGGATAAAGCATGATTAGCTCTTTTACTTTAGTTTTTCACTTTAATCACACTTTGTGAATTATAAGTTATACATATGTAATTGTATCAGCTTATAAAAATAATTCTTCAGTGAAATACAAAATCAGATACTCTGATTTTGTCAAAAAATTTTGTGAAATATTTTAATTATTTAATTAGAAAGAAAACATGCCGTGCAAACAAAATGAGCCTTAAAGCCATATCCAATGTCTGTGCCTGCCACCTGAGACCTCTCTGTTAAAATCATTTTTAATACTTTTGTTTTGAGACATAAATAATACAGATTATTTTTGGAAACAGGAATTATTATTTCTGCCACTATTTTTAATTATTGAATTTCACTGTTAAGTTGCATGTCTCAGTTTCCATTCAGTAAAGGTGAGATGTGGAATTATATTTACATCTGCAAAATGAACCCCTGGTATACTATGAGTTAGGAAATATTTTTCTGTCTTGCTTCTGGAGTTCACTCATAAAGATTTAAAGGGGGAATCTTAGTTTGTGAGGGAGAAAAAGCTTAAGAATGAAATCGGAACCACACTCTCTAAGGATCAAAGTACTATAATTGATCAAACACCTGCCTACTTAAGGATGAGCCATCTATGAGCTTTCAAAGTTCTGCCTGTGTCATCCCAGCAACGAAAAATGTGTGCATGGGGGCGGGGGTGGTTCTCAGCGCATTGTTGTTATTCAAAGAATGTCCCTATGGCAGAACCTGGGGTGATAAAAATGAATCGAGTCATTTGAATGATAAGTGTTTTAAATTAATATTTCTCACAATGTTTTATTTTAGAAACCATGCCTCTTTCTATATGCCTACATATTCCAATGCCTTTCTTGAATTTTAAAATAAATACAAATAAGAGCAATGGTAATTTTAGAGGAAAAATATTACCTTGATCTTAAAAGGCATGGTTTTGATTCCAAACAAGAGATGTGAATGTTATTGTTGATTCTACCTTAGGCTCTTCTATCTTGGTTGCACAAGACAGAATACTTCCTAGACCATTTGCAGTGATAAATCTGTTGTATTGCTTCATTTTCAGCTCTGACACAGATGTTCTTTACTCCTTAAAGTGACTGCCTTCCACCACTTCACTAAGACTTTTCATTTTCACTGGCACTAGACACTTTTTGTTTCTTTCACAACCTTAAGTGCTGCAAGATAGGGCTAGTTCACTAGTTTAGCCGCAAAACATTCACTTTAAGACTGTTAGAATTTTCAGACTTGTTAATGATTTTATAAGCTATATTTTCTTCTATGTGGCCTGAAAAATATTTGTCATTAATATTCTCTATCATTGTTGCTCTGGATATTAATCTCCATAAGTACATAATTATTTTAAGTTCTATAGCTATTTTATTTAAGATATAAACTTGGCATTTATTAAAAAATAAAACTTATGGAATCCTTAACACTAAAAAATATACTGGTCATTTGAAAAATGTTTAGATATACTAAATTTTAAATGTTAATAATACATGGAAAATGACCAGATCTTGACTGCTTGTCAATGATTATAAAATGTCAATGAAATAACCCTATTGCAGAATTGATTACAGAACATACTTTAATGTTCTCTAGTTTTTACCACTCCTATAAGTCTCTGATGTGAATTGCTTTTATTTACCATTTCTTCTTTGTTAAAAAAAATAATATTCTTGCTTATTCTGAGCAAAGGACAATTAATGCAATAGGTACTTGAGCGTGCATTGATGCATTCTTAGATTTGTTAAATGATACAACATCCTATCTTTGTCTATAATGACAAAACAATATCCTTTTTCTTCCAAGCAAAGTCAAAATATACAGGCCATTCCTCAACTTCTCTTGTCTCAGCATGGGAACACTCACACTCCAGTGAGTTTTATAATCAGCTCACTCCTATGCCTTTTTAAGACAGTTTTTTTTTTTTTTGGAGTGAATAGCATGGCTAGATTCATGTATAACATACATTGATAAACTCTGCTCCCTTTTTCCTTTTTAAAAACTCAGGTGTTTTGTGGGGTTTTTTGTTTTGTGTGTTTTCTAGAAGCAAAGGTATATACTTCAATTGTGTTTTAGAACTGTTTTCAAGCATTTTTGCCTAAACTGAAAACTCTTCAAAACCCTGGAAGAAGACAAGCAACAAAATAATAAAAAGGTTTTTTTTTTTTTACTGTCCCAATAAATAATAATGGACTAGAATATAATGAGTTTTTAACTCTTTAGAGAATTCATCTCTTTTCAGGCGCAGGCTTCTTCATGCAGATTTGGAAGATGGATTTATTTTCTACTCTGTGCTAAAAGCTACACTGGATATAACACCTAAGAGCCTTTGTTGACTTCATGCTGTTTTGAATACAGTCTTTCTCTTCCTTTCTTACATAAAATCATTATTCAATGTATAAGCCCTTCACAGAGTTGTTTTAAACTTACCTCATTCTAAACTTCCTTCCAACACTATGCAAAGAATTGTTTCACATTATAATTTCTTCCCTCTATTTACCATTTGCATTTGTCCTCGGACACTTCATTCATTGCTCAGGCAACTTTCCCAACAGGCCACTTTTCTGTATTTGGCTGTGTGCATATTGTTCCCAACTGGTGGGTCCACTGTTGGAGACTTACATTTTTTTCCATCCGATGCCACTGCATACGCATCCTGCTTGCAGTTGATGATGCAGCCACAAGGCAAGTGGGTCCAGTGTTTGGACAAGACAAACACCGGGGTTACAGTTGTAGCCAGCAGGGTTAGTAGAAAGCTGAGTGACTCGAAGGGAAGGCTCTGAAAACCCATCACGTGCTGGACCACCATGTGGATCTGCAAAGGCAGAGAGCTTCAGATATATCCCAGCATCACATTTTTTACTTCCCCAAGCCTTTCCCCCAAGCATACTGCCTAAGACCTCTTCTTCTGACCCCTTCACTGCCTGAGACCCGGAAGCTCTGCTTCTGGGCCAGCACCCCTGGCTTTAGTGGTGGATTCCTGGGATCTCTGATGCTCCAGACAGAGCAGGACTTTGGAGGTTTACACTCCCGAGTGCCTGGTTTGTGCCTGCTGCCAGGTTAGGTCTCCACCAAGGAAGCACAGTCACAAAGCGGAGGAAGCTATAGGGAAAACAGGCAGATGTCTGTGAAAGCTGAACCTGTTACTCCAGATGGCCCTTTGTCACATCCCTGGACCTTCCTCTCCATCCAGGCCTGCTTGTCAGAGCAGGATGCCACCCTGCCACCTCCCAACGGGGATCCCTCACAGAGGCTTGAACAAAAGCCTGTTTTGTCTCCTGTCTTTTCTCTTTACTTCTGATTGAACCTCTCCTCCCTTCCTGCTGGGGTGGGCGTTTCCTCCTTACCAGGCAAGAAAGGAGTGGAGAGAAGAGAAGGGTAGAGCAACAGAAGGTTGGGGAAAAATAACAAACACAGAGGCCCCCACCCCGCCCACCTTTAAAAAAAAAAAACTACCTTCCGTTCTGAATACTCCCAGGTATTGCCATGAGAGAAGAGAATACCCTTGGCCACGACAAATCTAGGAAAACTAGGTATCTAACGCCCCAAACTCTCCCTGCTCCTCCCCAATTTTAATTTTGAAAGAAGCATTTGGTATCAAGGTTTTTCTGCGGATCAGCGCTACAATTCAGCTGCCTTACTACAAGTGGGTCTTTAAAACCCTGCTAGATTCAGTTGGAAGTGGACTTAACTGCGCTGTCTCTTGGTGACTCCAAACCAGGGACTCTGGTCCCAACATGCACTCACACTGTCTGGCACACGCACCCCACCCGCGCACAGTGAGCAACTGTACTTTTACCATCATGGGAAGCCAAAGAATGACTTTTGTCAGCGCTAGGATCAAAGAGAAGCGCTTCTGCGCTATGCTCACGGTGAAGCTCCTGGTGCCATAGAGGGTCCCCGGGTTCTCACGCCTGCAGGCTCCAGCCCCAGCCGAGGCAGTGCGCCCTGGCGCGCGCCCGTGCTCAGTCGTCGCGGGCAGACCCGGCCCAAACGCAGTGTCCGAGCTCGGGGAGCATCCCGCAAAGCAACGCAGAGCAGGGCCCAGAGCATCATCTGGGGACAGGGAAAGCACTCTCTCCGCAGTTGATGGGGTCCCAGGAGTAGAAGTTCCGCGGGAAATTTCCTGGTAGTTGGCGTAGAGTCTCAGTGGCTCGTCTGAACACAGCAGCTGGTGAATGAGCGGGACCGAGAGACCGGCGAGCAGTCCGAAGGCTGAGGTGTACACAGCGAAGAGGAGCAGCACGTAGGAGCTGGAGCAGTCTGCCAAGCAGCCCCAAGGCGTGCGCACGAAAGCGCCCCAGCCACACAGTGGGAGCCCGGAGAGCAGCAGACTGGCTGCCCACACGGTCAGTGCCACGCCAAGCACCTGGCTGGATCTTCTGGAGGCTGCCTGGCTCCCTGCAGTCCTGTGCATCGTGTAAAAGTTGTATGAGACTAGGAGAGTCGCCTTCAAGTTGCTTGAGAGGCCCTGGCATAAATATAGTAAGGCAGAGGTGGTGCATAGAGACTGGAAGTAATCGGGGACCTCATTTAGCCACTGCAAAAACATGAAGATGGTCACCGACAGGACGCTCATGAGATCATCCCCAGACCAGGAAGCCACAAGCATGGACACAACAGTTCTGTTCTGCATTTTCAGCAGGGAAACTAGTGAATAAATGCTGCCTGCCAGGGCTGCAAGAGTCATTAAGCATGTCAGGCAAAAAAGATAGATGTTCAGAGTTCCTGGCGGATTTAAAAGGTCTGTCGAATTATGATTTTCTTTCCATTGGCTAGAGTCATTTGTTGATAAGTTACTAAGAAATACAGACATTGTCCTTGGTCAATATTTAATTTCCCTTTCAAAATGCAGCATAGCTGTTAGTTGCAAATCGCATCTCATTTTCTTCTACTAAGTTTCCCTGTAGATGTTCCCCGGTCAGTCGAGCAAAAAAAATGGTCAGGCATTTCTCCTTTAGATCTGACTCAACTCATATTTAAAAATTGAATTCCATTTAAAGCATCAATAAAAACTTTTCAACATTTCAATTAAAAACAAACAAACCAAAACCTCCTTCCTAAAACCATCAAGTTTCAGGCGTGAAAGCAAAAGCTCCTCAGGCAGATTGAAAAACAATGCTGTCTGAATCCTTTTGGGTCCTTCTCATGGAGCAAAGCAGTTTGTAGCTTGAGATAATCAAACTCTATTCACTTTTTAAGAGCAGTAAAATGATGCGTTCATTTCCAGAGCTGGATTCAGAGGCAGAGAGAATATCAGGTAGGTTTCAGCTTTGCCGATTCAGAGGGGGTGGGGGTGGGGGAAGAGAAGGGGGTGAGAGAGAGAGAGGAGAGAGAGAGAATATGAACGAGAGAGGCACAGTGCACAGCTCCCCTTCTGAACCGCTGTGTTCTTCAGCCTGTGATCTTCAGAGCCGCAGGAAGGAGGGAGGAGTCAGCTCCAAGCAAGAGAGAAGCAGGAACAAAAGGGAGGGGAGTTCAGTGAACGAGCAAAATGATAGCCATCTTCTCAGCTTGCCTCATTCAAAACAAGAAACAACATCCTGGCTAAGCCTTCTCCTTTGGTTTTAACATATAAAACTAGCCCAAATGAGTGCTCAGGTTTGATGTGAATGGCACATGCCATCTTTGAGAAGTCCATGCTATGCCAAGAAGGGGTTACTTGTATTCTTCTCTAGACCTCTTTGATTCATAATCCATTGGAAGAAGAACATTATTAATGCCATTGTTTTAAAATATAAGATGTGCCAGCTTTGTTTTTCTTTTTAAAAAAGAACATATATTGCACTTAATAATAAAAATGTCATTGTGGTTCTCATTATAGTAAACAAGATTTTGCAGAACCTTTGGATAGAGCCACACTAGCTATAAGCTTGTACCTATTTTCTGTCAATGTGATTAAGTTAAGCAAGCTACAATTTGACTAAATAATATTTCTAGTTGCTAAAGCCAGATGACATTACATAGGGCCTAAAAGGGAAGTTACTTCACAGAAACATGGGTAGTCAGAATGTTGCCAGGACTGTTATGTAGAATAATTACATCTCTAAACTCATTAAAAATATTGTCAGTTTTGTAAGATATGTTGCTTAGCAGAGAATGAACTGACAACAGTAGCTATAGTCAGCCATTTCCCAGGATGCTTTGGGGTAGCTACCTTAAAGCATTCCTCTTTAGCTCAGCCTTATAACCTGAGGGCTGCCTGCCCCTACACAGTGCTGGCGTCTGAATGGAGCAAGGTAAGAGAAAGAAGAGAATTGATACTATAATGCTCTATGGAAGTTGTAATAGAGCTTTGATCACACCTTTCATTTTAGAGATAACTGAAACTACATTTTGAACCTGAATCTATTCAAGCGCAAAGTGACCGTATCAGTCATTGCCAGCCATGCCTTTAGATAAATACAGTGGGAACTTTGCTTATTTTGACATGTTGGTTGATTTCTTCTTTACTCAGCAAATGGAAACACAACCACCTGTGATAGGTAGCTCAGCACTCCAGCTCTCCCTACTGATAACAATAGATCTTGCAGTGCGATATAAGTAAAGGTCTGGGGGTAAATTCTTCTTAAAATAATGTTGCTTCCCACAGCACAAAATGATAAACAGTTCTTATTTTTGACCATGTTCAAAGTTCTGTGACATACTATTCTGTCTTTTCTCTCAGATCTTATTCTTTCCTGCCATAAGGAAATGGTATTTATTCTTTAATATGGTATTTAATTCTGGATTTTCCATTGAGTTGATCAATAAGTATCATACTGTTAAAATACAATGAATCAAAATTAATAATAGCTGTTACAATACCATTTGAGACTTAGGGACATTCCCTCTATCATTACCATCATTTCTGGGGTTTCTATTAAATATAATTTGGAAAAGGGACACCTAACCACCATGTTGCCCTGGTCTCTAGGCTATAACAGAAGAGGCAAGAGTGTAGCATACATCCAAAGGTTGGTGGTGGAATTGCAGCCGGTCGGGGCGCTGGGAGAAATGCCTGAATGCGATTCCAGACTCTGCAATTGCTGGCTCTGTAACCTCGGGCCAAAGTTCTTATACCTTCTTTGAGTGCCTGTTTTCACATCTGTAAAATAAGAGGGCTTGATTTTTAGGCCCTTTTAAGTCTAAAATTGGGTGATATATTTAAATAGTTGAGGTTAACATTATCTTAGTTTTCTTTTCTGCCCACTTCACAATAATCTATATTCTTATCGAATGAAAGGTGGGTACCTGCAAGAGCTGATACTTGGATTCGCCATGCTTTCTCTTTCCTGTATGGCACGGAGGCCCTTATCAATAGGAAGATGGTGAATCTAAGCAGCCTGAAGTGTTGGGCCAACTGAAGGATCACGGTTGCCCTGGAGGTCTATGTGAACCTATGGTAGTTTTGTATGGGTGAGAAGTAAAAGGTTTTGTGTAAGTCACTGAGTTTGGGGGTTGAATTTTACTGGGTGGTAACCTAACTCAGCCTGTAATGGTTAGGTATACTGTAGTCCCCACACAGGTCAAAAGTGATGAAGCCAGATTTTAAACTCATTGTCTGGCTCGGCATTCTCAATCACAACAGACATACATTTTCTAATTACCTCTTTATAGCACCTTGTGCTTGGGAACACTTCCAGTGGATGTTAACAATCATCAAGTTTTGTTTTTGCTTTCCTTTCTCAAAAAGCATGTATGGAATATCTCATTTTTCAAAATTTTAATTTATAAACAACTGTTTACCTAACTGTATGTTATACATGGATATATAGATATATATATATATAGATAGATAGATAGATAAATTTCTTGAAAGTTGTAAGCCTTTCCCTTAGCCATAATCTCATTTTCTTTACAATATCCTCCCGAGCTAATAATAATATAAAAAGAATCACTCCAAATACCTTTCATATAACTTTTAGAAGACTAGAAAACTAGGAAGAAAGATTTCTAAGAAGACTTTTTGTGCCTTAAATTTTTTTACTCTGTTATTGTCAGTGAGCTTCATTCCTCTGTCTCACTTATGAAATTTCAATTGCTATGTCTTCAATTATTTAAAATTCTGTCTTCAAATTCCTTAATAATACAAATTTATATCTGTTTAAATAGAAATTATGATTATGCCAGGATAGCTTAGGTGAAGGCTTATTCATTGTCCCATTGCTGCTTTGGTTATTTAAAAACATACACTAAATGTAGCATTACAGACTATGAAACAACCCACAGAGAATTACATGGCAATAATTTAATTAGGCTTTTTGTTTATGAAACCCTTGATGTAATTACACTCTTACAAAGCACTGCAGGCAATTCATTTCTCTAAAAGTCTACATTATATCTGAAAATCCTCAGAGTAGGAAATGGCATGAAAAATCCAAGTTGAATGTGGTAAAGTAACATCTGTAGCAATGTGGAGCTTTGGCAAAAGAAAGAAAACACAGAACCAAGTGGAAATATTTAGTGTTGTTGTATGAAAATAAAAAAAGGATCATAGATAAAAAGTTAATCATGAAGATGATTTCTGTATCTAGAAATAATAGTGTTATGGAGCCAAAACATTTTTGAGGACTGACCTAATTGAAGACTCATACTAACTTAATCATCAAAGCTGAAGTGAAAGATCTCATAAGTTATCTGATATGTATACAAATACATATATAACATAGAGATAAAATCTAAATTTTATAAACATGTATAATAAATACATAAATTTATAATATACCTGATTACATGTAATAAATAGATTATATAAAATACATGCATACTCTGCTTTAACTGATGGTTTTCCAAAGAAGTAACTAGAAATTTAGTATCATAAGAGAATGAACCCAAATGCTGTGATTTATTTTCTTTTCTTATTTTCTTATTTTCTTATTTTATTTTATTTTCAGTGTCTCACCAGAAATGTACAATCTCTAATACTGTCTGATAACTATGAGTAAGGACACAAGGCAACTTGGCTCAAAGTCAAAGAGCCTAACCTCATGAATCTAATCTTGAAACATGCTAAATACGTTGTCAACCCAAACATTTCCCAACTAGGAAATTCTATGATTTTTTAACATGTTCCTGGATGAGACAAAAATTTCGGGTATTTATGTATGTATGTACATATGCACACACTTATGTATGTTTATATGTTAATGTATAACAGCTATAGAGAGAAGTAAGCTTTGTTATAAATGATCACTGAATATTTAATTTTACTCATTTTGGGCAAAGACCTTGACTATAGTACTTATGTAATGTCCACCTAGCCATTAACAAAGATAATATCTGGAGAAAAGTTTTTATAGAGAGATGTGTGAAGCTGTTGAAGAGATTAATAATGACTGAACCAATCTTATAGAATAAAAATATCAACAATGTATAGCTATTTTAAATATAATCTTATGCTATGAACTTTCATTCATTTATTCATTTATACGAGCATCTAAAGGTCAGACAATGTGCATTAGTGGTAAATAGAACATTATAGTTTCTTACCTTGTAAAGCTATGGTCTAGTCATTTTTCATACTATCTTCATCCTTAAATTTCTCTCTGAAAATAACATTTCGTCCCAAGGGATTCAATACAATACATATTTAATGCTTACGATGAAAGTGTTTTGATGCACAGCCTCAAGCCATAATTGACCAAGCCTTAAATTAGTAATGAGGCAATGCAAGAAGACCCCCATACCTTATTTTCATTGGGTCCATTTGAACTACAAGGTTTCAAAGAAATTATTTCAACATCTCAGTATCTCAAGAGTAAAATAATATCTTGAGCCAAGTACTATCACTATAAGTGATATACAAAGAAGTTCTGATTAATTTTTAATTTATTT